TATGGATACAATGTCGATAGAATGGCTAGGCAGTTTTAGTTTCTTTTGAGGCCTGGAGTGCAGGTTTATTTGTCCATGCTGCAGCTTGTAGCATTTCATAAAGTTTGTTATATAGGAACTTGGGTGCATGAGTAAGTCAGCTTGAAGCTACGGTAAAAAGTATTCAAAAGTCAAGAATTAAGATGACACGAACCTCACTGGGCTACTATCAGTGGGCTCCACCATTCAGTTCCAGAATAAGAAATGAAGAAAAGACGTGGTGAAAAGGGATATTGAATATTGAGTGGTAATACATGATGAATAGGTATCAGAAATATTCAAGGTTGGATTACTATCTCCAAAACCAAAAAAAAGAAAAAGAAAAGGGAAGAAATATCTGCTGCCACCATCTTCTTTTATTTTGGAACCAAATATGGTTTCTTTTTTATGTTCATGTCATGTTGACCCTATTTTGTAAATATTCCTTTTACATGACTTATCATCCCCCAAAACATGTCCTAAAATGATCAGATGTGTCCCTGCAACATGGAATCTTTTGAAATGTAAAATAAAGTAAAATGGTGACATGTATTGAATCTTGTCAGGACCATGTAGGTCTTGGATACGTGTTCTGAAACCAATACTTGGGCCTTGGGAGAGTGCCTTCGCTTCAGGGCATGACAACATTTTTATTGCTTCAGCCAGGCTTTCCTTATCATGGAAAACTATAGATATGAAATAGGAATCATAAGGAGATTATCAAAAAGGAACACCAAAAATTAGTTTTTTTGTTTTCTGCTTGCTGTCTGCTGAAAGTACTATGGATATTAGAATGCATTAGTAATACCTGTATGGTATCTGGCCATCTAAACAAATATTATGAGTTAATGAATTGAATGCCCAAAGCTGGTTATTTTTTAAACTGCCAAAATTCATTTGAGTGAGGGAACTCTAGAAAGAATATTTTTTAAACCTTGAAAAGAAAGCTATTGTTGAAAGCAGGTGTTTACAAATTATGTAGGTTAGCATGGTTTAGGTTCCAGGATGACAAATTTTTCATTGGTCTAAATGGCAAAAATTATGAGTCTTAGATGTATAGGATTAGATCCACAATCTACTTTAAAATGTGATTAGATATTCTGCTACTATAGACATCCTGAAAGCCCGTAGCAGTTGCTGAATCTAGTGATACCTTAATTCAACAGTGTCTTATCCCACACTTAGTAAGGACAGGCTTCATAGATCCTCTTTTCATACTCTGCAGTATTGGCATTTCCAAAGTTACTTCTCTATGCCTTCTTCACCCTTTGGTTTCTCTTTGAGCCAAGTCATTCTTGACTGCAACTGTCATTTCATTGAGAAGCAAGTCTACGTTTTCTGAATGGGTGTGTTGACTGAATGGAGGAAGAAATTGTTTTTGGATTGCTAACTATATCTGTATTCGATACTTGGTAAGGAATTAAAACCCTCTTTGAGATCCTATGAAATGTGTTGTTAAAAAGTGGGTAAAAGTTGTGGGTAAAAAAGAATTTTGACTAACTTAAAATCTGAAAAAGCTTACCAGACAAGAGCTAAATATATTGTCTTATGTGATGGTGTATTTTCTTTGAAAAAGAAGATATGGATTTGAAATCGATAGGATCGCACAGAGGGGCTGAGGTACCCACTGGAGAAATTTTGTGAGGATGTTTCTTCTTAGACCTGTTCACTCTTTTTATTTCTTCCCTGGTATTCTATGTAGTGTTACAAATAGGTTTAATAGATGAAGGGCAAGTCATCTGTTGTTGAATCAGAATGTTTGATCATTGTCAAACTTCCAACAGTACTCATAATGAGGACCCTCAAATTCTGTGGGCATTGGTATAGTTCAATGGTAAAGCTGGGTGTACGACTTGTTTACAAAAATTTTTGTGTATTGATTAGAAAATTATTTGAAATTGATATTTTAATAATTCCGTGAAGAATTTGTAGCCAAAGGATCATATGATCTTTAACAGTACCTTTCAAATATTAAGGCTTGTCTACTTGATTGCTGCCAATAGTTTTTTTAGGATAAAACTGCTTCGTCTTGTATGTACTTGTTAGTAAATAGGCACCTGTTAAAAATGTTCTGAATGGAGGTAAAACTAACAAATTCAGTAATGACCTGGTTTTGGTGCAGTGTTTTAAAGCCCCCACAAGCTCACCTGAAGTTTCGAAGGCCCTGCTTTATCTCCTTCTCTGGAGATAATGGCTACATATTTATGATCATTATCCAAAAGTTTGCACGAGTCAACATAGACATATAATGTATATGTCTGTATGGAGTGCATGTTCTTTGTGCATCACAATTGCAAGGATGACAGTATTGCAGCTGTAAAACTAAGAAGTTGCAGAAGATGTAATATATACCCACAATACAAAACATAGTGCAGATGGACATAACGAATTTGTAAAGTAACGCCTCATGGTTACTCTCTGAAGAAGGATGTTCTACCCTTCAGAAGTCTAAGAAATGGAACTTCCTTAGGAGCCTAAAAAAAGCCCACGATCAGTTTTACTCGAGTGACTTTTTGCCTTCAGCTGCATAGGAATATATACCAAAGCTTGGTTAAAATCCCAGTTTCCAAATCTTCTTTTCTTGTGGTTTCCTCCTTCAATAACCAAATTTCAGAAATGAGGGAATGGCCAGATGTTAAAGCTGATAATATTTAAAGCTCAACTCAAGTCGACCGAAAACTTTCACCAAGATATACTATCTCTTAAACAGTAAAAAGAAGCTGTGTCTTCAACCTCTGCCCTTTTCTTTTCTCCTTTCCTTCAGTATTTAGAGATAATTTGAAGTATTAGGCTATATCTTCCATCTCCTAATCATCCAGTTTTCCAACTCCAATGTTAAAAACAGGTTACCTACCATGCCAATATCATTATTTCCTCAACCAATTTTGTGACTTGAAAATTCACAGTGAAGCTTAGATAGTACTTGTTAACTTAAATTACTTAGAAATTTGGGCATTGTCTCCATTAGTAATCAAATTTAATGTGTACTTCCATGTACAAGTTCCTTGTCATTTAGAAGTTTTTGCCACTGTTTACATAAAAAAAAAAAAAAAAAAAAAAAAAAAAAAAAAGATAACATAAAAATCAAAGCATGACATGCCACTTCTGTATGATATCTACTTCACTTGCAAATGCAGAAATTAACAAGCACGAAATAACCCTTATTCTAAATACTTTTGGGGTCTACTACTTAAATCGTTTGTCGTAACTCCATTCTCCTGAAGGAATAAGAAAATATCCCTTCTGTCTATGATACATAAATGGGTGAATTAATGGATAGAACAGTCAGGATCAAGTTTCAGTAAATTATCGGATTTACTATCTTTTTGTCTAGTCCCATAAAAGGTTAAAATGATTGAATAGAAGAAAGAGAAGACATCTCTCTGTTTCTCTTCTTTTTATCCCATCGATGAATTCCTATCCAATGCCTCACTAGCTGGATAGGCTCAAGAAAGCTACCTGAAAAAATAATAAATAATAAAAAATAAATTTCAAGGTGCAGAGATGTCTATAAAAGCCCCATTGTTAAAGGTGTTTCTCTATTGGAAAGATAAGAAAAATGGTCCTTTGATTAGCATTCTAATTACAATAATTGTATACGATGAATATCAACTGTAAAAGTATATTAGAGCGATGTCTCTCTCTCTCTCTCTCTCTCTCTCTCTCTCTCTCTCTCTCTGTGTTTCCCAAGTATCATTACACTGTCTTTCATGCATTATGAGTAAACATGTCTCTTTATTCCTTTTCCAGACATCATCGTGTCTTTAACTAATGAAGCTGTGAAAATTTGAGTTCAGGTTTAAGACGTTCTGCTTTACAGAGCATTGTATGCATGCGTGTGTTTTTGTTTTTTGAGGACGCTTCATAATAATCTTTATGGAGAAGAGATACATATAATTATTAACTTATTTCTATCATGGCTTGATAGCTTTGTGCAGCACTGAATGTAAATAAGAAAAGTGTTGATATCTTGATGTCTATCGCAATCTACACTCTAAGCTGGTTCAAGGAAATGAACTGCTGAAGGAATATGTTGACAGGTGAGAATTTCCTCCCCAAAACTCGAAGCTGTTTTATAGTAAGGTGGTCAACACTATTAAGCAAGAAAAAGTAGATAAAGTCTTGGATATATTATTATCCAGTACAATGCTGCTTACCATAACTATACCAAATGAATTATGCTCCCACATTCCATAATGTTTTCCAAGTGACCTTATGATAAGGGGAATGATACCAACTGTTTGTTGTGCTATTATTGCATTCTTCTCCCCAAGAGAGACAATGTTTAATTACTTAATTTACAACTAAAATCATAGTATTCTATTCTTTTGCTTTTGCCAACCGTGCTTCTCTGCATTACGAGCTTCATTTTGCCTTGTCCCTTCCAGGCTCATATGACCTCTTCTAGTTGAAATCTTCCACAGATTAGTTTAATGACTTTTGCTGTTAACATTTTTGGCCTTCAGGGAGAAAAAGAAAGGAGAAGAAAGGACAGAGTCTCAAAAGGCTAATGAAGCTGTAACAAAATGCTTGCGGGAATGCCAATATATGAAGACTGAAGTAACCTTCATTGTTTTAAGTTACCTTTGTTTAAATCTCTCTGAGTATATCTCAAAATTAATTTGATCTTTTGTATGATAATGGTTCAGACAGGTTATCATAATAGAGGCTGTATTAAATGACAAATAATAATTGCAATGATGTACAATTTTCATTTAACTATTAATTTATATAGAATTCTTTGTTATTTTTGTTAAGAATGTAATTTTTGGTCTAAGAGCAATTTTTGGTCTCAGGAGGCACTGGGTTCAAGTTGTAACGCTATTGATCAACAATGTTAATGATCACTTGTCTAAGTGGTAGTGGATCCCCCAAGATGGATGATCATCACCACTGATGATGAATAGCATTATTCGAGTAGAAACATCATCTTTATACTTTGGGTTCCATGAGAATGTCACCCCATGAGTTTTCGCCCAAAATAAGCAACAATAGGAACCTTTCAAATGTTCTACATACAACTTACAATTGTCTATTCCAGATAGCCACAAGATAATTCAAACACTACAATTCATCAAGCCCTTAATGTTGCCTAACACAAATGTTCATAATCAACAGACGAATTAACCCTGTGGTTTCGGTGAAACAAGCTACGAAATAGGATATAGAATATCAACTGCTAGGTGTTGAAGTTCAGTTATTTTTAGTAACTTCAATAAGAAATACATGCAATAATTCAACTGAAACGAGAAATGTCAACCTCGTCGGGAATCTTGAATGTATCTGCTGCCCCGAATTTTCTCCATTCTTCCCCTACAGATTCGTCTTCATTGTCGCTATCCCTTTCATCTGCGTCCTGAATGTTGTGGGATGTGGGGTCGTGAACACTTTTGGATCTGCAGTCGTGGGTAGCAAGCATCTTCACTTGGCGGAGATGAGAGATCTCTACAACAACCGTGTCATCATCCACAGGAAGCGGTTGTTTCCATGGTTCACCATCAACCCTCATGAAGGTGTGATCAACCGCACCCTTGTGAAACTCAAAACGTATTCTATGTGCCTGCGCAGATGAAAACCGAAAAAATAAAAAAAATAAAAATAAAAATCAACAATAACTCAGGTCACTGGTTTAACTGAATCTATGCTTCTCCCGACTCTCTATTTGACTCTAACCTGTGCAAGACGTGTCCCATGACCACTAGGAGCAAGCAAAACCAGTCCATGCCAAGCATTTTTAAAACCAACAATCTCTAGAAGGCCATCATCGACAAGAGGTGGCGTCAAGTCTCTCTACACATCAAGTTGAAGCATGAACTATATTAGAAAACAATGTTATATGGACAACTTTCTTTCCATTTAAGAGAATAGATAAGAAAAACGTGTCTTAAGAGAGCACGCACGTCACGTCTTTTATTTATATTCGGTGTTCCCCAAGGATTTAGTCCACCAGAGAAGCTAGGTAAATTAAGACATACAATGGACCTGATGCTGCATTGTTAGAACAAAACACACACTAAATTAGGAATAAAATCTACAATATACATAAAGTGGAAGAATAATTGGGTATGTAACTTAAGCGTTTGAAAAAATTATACCAAAAATTCGAAATATTTAAACTTTTTATCTGCAAGATCTCAACAGAAGATCTCTGCACATGTCTGAAGTCTAAAACTTTTGATACATGAGCAACGTCGGTGTTTGAATCCTTAATCTAACAAATGATGGTCTCTGAATTGGGGAAGAAAAAGAGTCATTCACCACTAAAAGATCAGTTAAACTTATTCTTGCCTATCGCTCTCCTTTTTCGACCCTTCAAAATTAAATCTATGAAACATCTCAGGCATACAATTACTTCAGAGGCTTCAAGTAATTTATAAGAAGATTGGACTAAATATGATATCAGAGAAATTAGATTGGGCTAGAAATGGCTCTTTAACAAGAGCATATAGTTGTATTCAGTTTCTCAATTCCTTCCATATTCCCATGAAATAACAAAAAGAAACTGCAAGAGGGGAGCATTATTCGGAAAAGACAAGTGATCTACCTGTGGGGAATAAGGAGATCTTGCCAATCACCACGTCTTTTCATGATCTTGACCTTGGCAAGTTGAGCTATATTCCTGCATTACGACTGCTATTTCAGGCAAAGAAAACAATGAACATACAGTGTAATGCTAGTGGTGTTGTGAGGTACATCCAATGCAAAATACTAAATAATGCACTATAATTGGCAGCAACAATGACCCCATAAGTTTCAGAACAGGTACGGCAAAACTGACAATTTTCAGAAAACGCCCTTCAATTATTTTATGGGCAAGAAGTAAAGTTTAACCCTTAAATTGGACAAACATGTACACTTACTTTGAAGAAGGGTGAGCAAGAGGAGCAAAGAACCATCCTTGCGTGCATCCAAGCTTCGCATATGTACTCTAAGAGGAAATAAAATGCATATTATTATTATTATTACTATTATTATTATTATTATTATTATAATATTTTCTTTTTATCTAGAAGAACCTGAGGAAAGTATGTGATATCACACAATCACCTCCATCGTTTGATAATAGCAATCCAACATGTGATCATTTTAGCAATTAAACTGACATAATCCGAATCTCAAGCTTCTCTTCTCCATAGTACATCATTCAAGAAGAAAAGTTTTTAGATGTCATCAATAATTTTTAACTAGAACTATTGTTATCTCAAGTTTTCGTAAAAGTTAATCCTGTGTATCGCTTTTTATTTTAATAAAATAAATGAAAGTAAAAGTTCAAAACATTATGATTAAAACATCATGTAGCATCGAGATAACAGAATAGCATCTAATGCCATCATATATTTTCTTACATACAAAATATCAACTCTCTCAAATAACCAATTAGCTGATTCAACATAAAGTCTATCAATGATGAATTGCCCATGTCTAATCAAACAAGTGTATCAGCTTGCAGTAACAGGATTTCTTATCTGATCAGTTCTTCATAATTTAATATAAATTTGTTTCTGTGTATCAATTATCAAACAAAGTCTTTATGGAAAGAATTTGATGGTTTGCAAGAATTGTAGCTCCAATAACAGGATAATTGACATGTTTACCTGATTAACCAGCTGGTTCTTGAATTTTTCTGGATGCAGCTTTCGCTCAGAATGGAACGCGTAAGACACTTGTGCATCCATCCCTACAACATAAAATGAGAAACAAAAAATAAGTTTACGGCATTTGACATCAATTGTATCCTAACTGCTGTAGAAAGTTCTCCATGATACCAGAAAATGACTAGTATATTGTAAGTAGTCAGATAGTAATATTTTTTTGTGCTTCTTCTTGTTGTTGTTTGTGGTGGTGCAGGCACCATCGCAAGAACTAATACTGAACATGAGTACAGATGTATGTCTCACATAAAACTGAAACTGCTGAGGAAATTGGATTTTGCAAACAAACTATGGATTTGTTCTTCAATGATCAAGCAGCTTTCCATGCTTCATCTGATCCAGCATTTCTGTGGAAGGATATAATATATGGTGGATTGCCATTTTGTTAAGGAAGAATTACTAGAGAAGGTGGTTCAAGCTTCATACATTAAGAGTTAATAACCTACAAAGTCTCTGGGTAGTTTGAGGGTCAAGTATACTAGTTAGCAGATGAAGGGGAATTGTTAAGTACACTAACTAGCCTTAAGATAAATATGATCGACTGTCCTTTTTCATGTGTCTTTGTTCCTCTCTTATTTCCCTTCCATGATTTTGTGCTATTTTGCATACTATTGAGCTTCGAATTTCCATGGTTTCAGTCCCTAAAATAGAATTCTACGAGGTAAGACAACCAAGTAATATGCTTTTCCCGTAAGTGTGCAGGACGTAAGATAATTACTGCTAAGAACTAAGAATAATGATTCTGCAGAGTGAAAATGTGGGGGGGGGGGGGGGGGGGA